AAAAAAAAAAAAAGTGAAAATGCACATATATTCCCTCTCTATGACTTGTAACCAACTCTTTTTGTCACTTTAGCTACAATTTGTCATGCAAGCAAACATAATAGAGATGATGGCATTGCTAAATGATTCCTTTCGAGCATAAGTTCGATTTTCATAAGTAAACTCGGCTTATTTTTTTGTCGAATCGGGTGTGTCAAACACGTGTCTGTGTATATCTTTTGATACGTAGAGCTAGTTAATTAATTGACAATGTGGCATATACTTATAGAGAAATGCTCACCTACCCACCGTGGACACATGTTAATATGCCCACCGCAGAGGTGACATGCACTTATTGGTGATGTATTTTTTAAAATATATTAATATCACCAATAAGTGGATGCCACCTACGCAGTGGGCATATTAACATGTGCCCACCGTGGGTAAGGGAGCATTTCTATACACTTATATATATGCTTATGAGATTAATTAATAGTTCTATTTTATTTCATTCTATTTTTCAGATGTGGCCAAATTGAATTCAAATGAGTGGTACTTCTTTAGCTTCCGTGACCGGAAATATGCAACCGGGTTTAGAACAAACCGAGCCACCACCAGCGGCTATTGGAAGGCCACCGGAAAAGACAGAGTCGTGCTCGATCCAAAAACACATGCAATTGTGGGCATGAGAAAGACTCTTGTCTTTTACAAAAATAGAGCTCCGAACGGGATCAAAACCGGGTGGATTATGCACGAGTTTCGGCTGGAAAACCCTCACTTGCCACCTAAGGTTAGCTCTTCTTCTTCTTCTTCTTCTTCTTCTTCATCTTCTTCTTTTTTCAATGTACATGATGATAATAGTTGATATTGAAAGCGTAAGATAAATCTAATAATTTTGTGAGTAAGACTATGTTTTGTAGACCAATAAGCTAGCTTATTGCTTATTTAGTTAACTGGCTTATAAGCTTTCAATATTTAGATAAATTTTGTTTGGTAAGACGAGTTTTTTTAAAAAGCTCAAGCTTATCTCATAAACTTCTTTGGATAGCTTTTCAAATAAGCCCGTTGAAGTTTTTATTTCAACCAGCTTATCAGCTAATTTACCAAACACTTTTATCATATAAGTTGGCTTTTCAACTATAAGTCATAAGCTATCAGCTTTAAACTCGAAAATTACTGATTATAAGCTAACTTATCGACTATCAACTAATTTTACCGAAACATAGACTAAAGGGTATATGAATTAAGTCATTCTTGTTGACAATCGTGTTACAAGAAGCTTGAGCCAGACACCATTGACAGCCAAGAAGATTCTGTCTAATTTCTCTTTCTTTTCAGCTCTCATTAACCTAATAAATTATTTCATTTCATTCCGTGTGGGCCTTTCTGATCAATTTTTCCATGTACACACATTAGAAACTTGGATATATAATGTTTTATATTTTAAATAAAAATAAATTCTATCTATTACGTACATTCAAACAAAAACACGCTCCATTAATTAAGACATATGTAAACATAATTAGATTATTGTTATTTTGGTTATTTTATGTGTCACATGATAATAACTATATATGTATTATATATATATATGCCAAATTCTTGATAAATTTTTGTGTGGACTCATGACAGGAAGATTGGGTACTATGCAGAGTATTTCACAAATCAAGAGGAGATTTAAACAGCCCTACAATATGTAATGAACTCTACCAACAAAGCAACATATCTTCGCTCGGTTTATCGTCGACTCAAGTGGGCCCCACGAACCTTCTATCTCATGATGAAATGAATGATGATGATGATAAGTATAAGCCTCTTGTGCCATGCAACAATAATAATAATAAGTGTGAGGATGAATATGGATTCTTGTTCGATCTTGACTGCCCGAGTAATAATGAAGTGTGGATGATATGAACTTGGATCGTGATAAACCGGCGGCTAAGTTTTTTCTATCTGAAAAATATATTGGGATTAGTCGGTATCTTGAATCGAGTTAGTATATATATAGTTGAATTTCATGAATGATAGTAGTGTGTGATTTTTTGTTTGTGCAGAATTAGGAGATTGATGATAATCTCATATTGTTTTAGGAAGAAACATTGTTATGTATTTATTGGAAATAGTCTAGGAAGAACTTAATTATGTTATTACATTCATGTTTTTTTTTTTTTTTAATAAAATATGTGTTTATTGGAATAGTTTAAAATCACTTATTAAGATGAATGAGGGGTTCTTGTCCAATGTTTTGAGAAATAGTCATTCAAGTATTTGATGTCTTGATATGATAATATGACTTTTTATTAGAATATTTTATAGATTTATTTTTATTTTTATTTTTCAAAACACCATCTAGTAGATTGATCAATAAATATAAGAAACTATATAAACTTAAACCAATCTTATAAATAAGCCTAAAATTGAAAACTATAAATAAATAAATATAAAAGAAATATATAAACTTCAGAACAAAATTATATATTTAATTATAAAACTACTTTTAACATGTGGATTGTTGGGCACCAAATAAGCTTCTTTCCTGTCCTACTATTCTTTTTAATGATCAGTGATTTGAAATGCTACATATTTGTTGGGTCTACATACATATTTAAAGGTTTTTTAAAATGTAAACATAGTTTCACACTAGTTTTTGGATGTTTCATATGAAATATGCATAGTGTATTTACATGTAAATATGGTTTTCGCACTTATCGGGATGTTTCATATAAAATATGCTTCACTTGGTTTTTAGTCTAATCTCTGGCTAGGTTTTAAATGTTTAGGTATTGAAGGTATTATAATGTTTGGCCGTGCATAACATACATACAATCATATTCAAACTTTTCATCACTTCATTTTTATGATTTGATCATTCAAACTTCATTTTTATGATTTCGTCCCCTCTAAGACCTGGCCTGTTCACTGTACATACGTATTTAGAAAAAAAATCAAAATTTGTTATTTGGGAACACAACAAACTGTATGCATATATTTTCCAAATGCTTAACTGCAAGCACTCCTAAAAAAAAAAAAGAAAAAAAAAGAAAATTCCAACAAAACACAAGTTTTAGCTCAAGATCACATTATTATATCAAGAGTATCCTAAAACATACTCTTTGCAAAAGCATTGATCAGCATCGATGTGGGTCTCAGCTCCTCATCTCTTCCAAGCACTCGATTCCACACCGACTGCAAATAAATATCCACAAGCGTTATGTGCGTCACCACATTCCACAGCAAACCCCGACTCCGACTGTTAATTCATCTTTCACATCAACCCTTTCGCACCATCCCACCTCTCGAACGAGTTATTCCCAATATCAAAAGTAGTTGCATAAGGCTATAATATAACACTCCTCATGCATCTCCATAAGGCTATAACACCCCTCCTCATGCATCTCCTTTAGACTATATATGCTTGGATACAAAAGTTTTTAAAAATATCCAAACATCTTTAACTCAACCACTTCTTTAAACTTTCTTAATTTTCTTTACTATCCGACGTGAAACTTTAATTTTATGTTAAGTAATTCGATATTAATAATTAATTTAAATATATTTATTAGATTTTAAATTTTTTTGACCAAATACTTATTTCTATCTCTATCTAATTTATTTCTATTTTTGTGATATCAATAATTTAACATAAAACTTATAAAAAATTTACAACTAAATTATTTATTACTATCTAATCTGAAAGTTCATTTTATTTGAAATATATAGAATTAACAGATATGGTTATAGATTAGTCGCTCCTATGATAAATTATTTGTATACTAGAAAAAAATAAGAAACATAAATATTTTTTAAAAATCCCAAATGAGAAGATTTTCTAATTATATTTCTTTGTACCTATCCAGGTTTCATATCGTTGTCTTTTTTTTTTTTNNNTTTTTTTTCTTTTCCATCTTTGTTATTACAAATTAATGTCATTTTATTTTTAAGAACATAATAACATTTTTATTTACCATTGGTTATTTTTCTTTTTACACATGAATCCTCAAAGAAGACAGTTTAAAGTATTGACCAATCGAGAATGTTGACATGCATGCAGCAGTGACCGGTTTTATTTCATGCAGTCCGGTTTTTCTTCCTTTACTGTTTTCGGTTCTTTTGTATTGTTAAGAAAACGCAAGACACTTATGTAGTCGTGTAGCGTTTCTCTTATTTGGTCGCTGTTTTAGGTTTTCTTTTAATTTCTTCTCGCACGTGTCAAGCTATGTAAGGTGAGATTAGCTGAGGGTTTATTTTGAGTCTGTAATCGTCTTCTTCGACAGATCTGGTTTTGAAAGCTTTGAGCTAAGAAAAAATGGTGTTCTGAGAATTTTATTCGCCTTCATTTTATCTTAAATATTTCGGATATTGTGATTTCTACATGGTATCGAGAGCAGGTTGATCTCATGGCACACAGAGATGAGCAGGGTAGAGACATCGTACGCAGTGCTTACTCGAGAGACATTGATCCCTTGTCCCTCCATGGATCTGACAGTCCTGGACTGGTTCTGGTCACAAATCAACTCACCGGAGCTAACTACTTGCACTGGAGCCGCGCAATGAAGCTAGCTTTAGCAGCAAAGTCGAAGCTCGGATTTATCAATGGCTCAGTAGAAATTCCAGAACAAGGTACCGATGATTATATCCAATATCACAAAGTGGAGTCTATGGTAATATCCTGGTTACTGAATTCGATTTCGAAAGAGATTGTTGAGGCTTTCATGTATGTCAAATCTGCTAAACAACTATGGGATGAATTGGCCGAGAGATATGGTGATAGCAATGGACCTCTCAAATATCAGTTACAAAAGGAGATAGCAAACTTTTCTCAAGGTTCACTTACAGTCACAACCTATTTTACCAAGCTGAAGTGCCTTTGGGATGAATATACTTGTCTCATAGCACTACCAGAATGTGTGTGTGGCTCGAGTAAAGCTTTTTCTGAAAATGATATGGAAATTAAACTCATACAATTTCTTATGGGTTTGAATGAAGTTTTTGAGCCTGTTAAGAACCAAATCTTATTGATGGATCCTCTTCCCACTGTCAATAAAGCTTATTCAATGATACTGAAAGTGGAAAAACAAAAGAATGTGGTGACAGGTTTGATGAACCCTTTGGAAACCTCAGCAATGCTTGCAAGAGGAAACTATGGGAGAGGTGCAGTTTTTGGACGTGGTAATACTGGGAGAGGACAAGGTGCACAGTTCTTTAACAATACAGGGAGGGGTAGAGGAACACCAAGGTTGTCCAAAGAAGAAAGAGCCAAGCTGTTTTGTACACACTGTGGGTATAGTGGACATGATGTACAAGGCTGTTTTAAACTAAATGGATATCCAGATTGGTACAAGGAACTCAGGCAACAAAGACAAGGGCAGAATGTTAACATGGTAGAAGGAGATGATACCTCAAAGTCAGATTCTGAGGTTAAGTCTCAACACAGTGACACCTTGCCAGATATTGGAGCATTAGCAAAGGAAGTGGCCAAATATATTTCAATGCAACAGGAAGCAGAAACTCACACTTTCTCACATCTGGTGGAATCCACAATTGGCACAGAAGGTTATGTTTTCTCCTTGTTTAGCAAACTAAATAAAGGAAGCTGGATTGTTGACACTGGGGCCAGCAAGCATATTTGTTCAAATCTTAACTTGGTTACTTCCAGTTCTGATATTGCTATACCTGTGATAGTTAACTTACCTGATGGTTCAAGGTTTGGAGTTGCAAAAATTGGGGAGGTACAATTAAATGGTGTGATATTGCTCAAAAATGTTTTGTTGATACCAGAATTCAAGTACAACTTATTATCTGTGGGGCAACTGATAGAGGACAATGGTTTAAGTTTCAGTTTCACAGGCAAGGGTTGTAAACTCTTTGATGATAAGAAAGGGTCAGTCATTGTTGAAGGAAGAATTATGGCAGGGATGTACATCATAGAGGGGCAAGATCATTATGCCAATGCAGTAGGTAATGTGGAATCTCAGAACAAGGAAATTGACCTTTGGCACAAGAGGCTGGGACACAGCTCAGTGACTGCTCTTAAGCATCTCAGTTTTCTGAAGAATGATTGTGTGAACCAAAGTCTGAATCCATGTGACATATGCCACAGATCAAAGCAATGCAAGATGCCTTTTCCTATCAGTCATATTCAAAGTAGAAAGAGATTTGATCTGATCCACATAGATGTGTGGGGACCATACCTTGAGAGATCAGTCACAAATGCAGCATATATGTTGACCATAGTGGATGATTACACTAGAGCCACCTGGATATTCCTTATGAAGTACAAGTCAGAGACATGTGGTCATATAAAGTTCTTCTTAAACATGGTGGAAGTTCATTTTGATGAGAAAGTTAAGAAGATAAGGTCAGACAATGGGTCAGAGTTCATCAACAAGGAGGTGGCTGAGTTGTTAAAGGACAAAGGGATAATTCATCATAGGTCTTGTCCATATACTCCACAACAAAATGGAGTAGTTGAAAGAAAGCATAGAACTATATTGGAGGTGGCAAGATCCATTTCTTTTCAAGCAAACCTACAGAAAGATTTGTGGCCTTACAGTCTGTTAGCTGCAGTGCAGATTCTCAACACTTTGCCTAGTGAGAAGTTGGGTTGGAAAAGTCCTTATGAGATGCTTCATGGAAAACAACCAACTTATGATATGTTCAGAGTCTTTGGATGCTTGTGCTATGCCAAGAAAGCCAGTTCATACAAGAAAAAGTTTGATGAGAGGGCAGTAGCATGTGTGTTTTTGGGGTATGTTTCTGGGGTGAAGGGATATAGATTATATGATTTGGAGTCAAAGGAGGTTTTTGTCTCCAGGGATGTTACTTTCTATGAGACTAAATTTCCTTTTTCAGATGAGGCAAAGGAAGACAAACTGACTGATGCAAATATACCTCTACCCATTGTGACAGACATC